AAAAAAAAAAGCGTGGTGTGGAATTGGTCTGATGAATGCAAAAAATCTTTTGAAGACAAAGAATATGTTAATATCTGAAAGGCATTTCAATCCTGATTTAGAAATAATTGTAGCATCAGATGCTAGCAATTAAGGCATTGGAGCAGTTTTTTATAATAAATTCAAAAATAGTAAGATAAAAGCAGTTGCCCATGCATCTAGAACGCTAATAGTGGCAGAAAAAATTATACTGAAATTGGCAAAGAAGGGTTAGCTATTATTTTTGCAGTGAAAAAATTTCACAAAATGATATACAGTAGGAAATTTATTCTGCAAACAGGCTGCTGCCTATTATTGGCTATTTTGGGCTGTAAAAAAGTTATTCCAACACATACTACCAACAGGTTGCAATGTTGGGGAAGGTTTTTACTAAACTATGATTTTAAGATGGAGTATTTACCATAAAAGAAGTTGGGACATGCAGATGGTTTGTCCAGATTAATCCCCAGATTTAAAGAACTTCTTGAGGAGACAGCGATTGCTTCTTTAATTTCTGAAAATGAGATAAAATGTGTTTTGCATTTTACAATAAGGGAACTATCTGTAACTTTGGACAAAATTAAAATACAATCCAAGAAGGATAACTACATTTTAAAAGTGATGAATGATGTAAAAGTGAGATGGAAAGAAAGAAAAAATAAACCAAGTATTATTGAAAATAAGTTTTTTTCCATCTATGTTGAAATACTGATGTATGCTGAAAGAGTAGTAATTTGTGCTTCCTTGCAAAAAAGAATTTTTAAATTAAAACCTAGAAGAAAAATGAAAAGTTGGCATATTAAGAAATTAACTATAAAATCTTTCAAAGCTTGAGATAAGATTTTCTTCTGGATTTACAAGGTAGGAAAGGAAAATTGGGAAGATGGTGAGATAGTAAATCACATTGGCAGGATGGTGTATATGGTACATGGTCGAAATTGGTAATGTAAAAGGCATTTAAACCAATTAAAACCAAGTTATGCTAAGGAAATAAAACCCCAAAAAGAGATTTTTCTATGGAAGTAATGTACAATACTTTTGATTTGCCAACTCCAATTATAAATACTCAAAAATACTGTGTTAGTAAAACAAAAAGAAATCCAATGGAAATGAAGACCTAAAGAAAAAAATATCTACATTTAAAAGGGAATATGTATCTTAAAAGAAGGAGGTGTTGTGTAGAAAGATGACTAACCTTTGCTACATTAAATTGTTAAACAGACTCTTCCGTTCACCATGAGAGGAATGTCAACTCATGGGAAATGAGTCACAAAGTGTGCTGCACACATTACCACACTAATTAAAGAATTTGCTATTATTGTATTATTAATCCATATGATTCAACAGTTACTTCACTAATATTTTCAGTTCTTGGTATGATGATAAACTACATTTAGCAGCAAGGCCTCTGGTTGGGAGATTAGAGGTTTTGAGGAGAGGGAACCACCTCTTAAATGCTGTTGTTCACTCTGTTAGGGTCCCAGCTATGTGCAAATAGTGAACTTCCAAACAAAAGCAAAACACCATGAAAGTACAAAAATACATTTTTATAGTAAAAATACCAGTAATACATTTTTATATAAAGATACCAACAATACCTGTTTATAGTAAAATTACCAAAAATACATTTTTAAAGCAAAATGACCAACAATACATTTTATCTGTAGTTAAAGGCATACAATTGCATTCAAAATATTTAAATTTTGGCATTAAACAACCCGTAGTGGTTGATATGCTACTAAACAAAATCAACCAACCAACTAATCTTTTGTTTCAGTGTTTTCTTTGGAATATTATTAAACAGAACTATGAGTTTATATGAACATTATAACAATAGGATTTATTGAATAAATAAGTGTAGATGTTTATTTATTCTATTGATTACATATACAGTGATAGCAAATCCTAAAAGCATATAAAGGAATTAAGCAGATGCCAAGATTCCCATAGTTTGGGCATGCAATCTGGATGTTGAGCTTTGAATATAAGAAAGAAAAGGTCTTTTAGTAATCAGGAATTTAGTGATAAATGTAAATTTCTTATTCTGGTTTCTATATAGAGATACACAGCAAATGAAGAAAATTGTCAGTGGTCAGGAATTAATACAAACATTACTGACAGTTGGATTCTAAGTATAATTAAAGATTTATTGCTAAAGTATTTGATTATAGAAATGAATTGAAAATGAACTTATTATGAAAATCCATTCAAAACAACAATGGGGTGTTCCGTGGTGAAGAATTAATGCAAGTGTAACCAACAGAATAGAGTGGTTATAATTGTAATATAAATGCATTACTAGTAGCTTTGCTATGGTAATATATGTTTTGTTTAGTCTCTTGTAAATAGATTAATTCATATTGTATATAATCATTGGAGATCCTTTTAATTTGTTGTTTTATCCCCCCACATATGACGATTTGTACATATGGGGAGTATTTAGGATTTTCATTGAGACAATGAGGTATTATGGTGGATGTAGTAAGAAAAGCTAGTAAGAATGTGGTGTTTTGGTGTTAAGAATATTGTTTGTATGTTTGGGTCGGTGCTTGTGGCTAGCTAAGTTTAAAATTAAGACAGATGAAGACCGTCCTTTTCCCCATCCCCTTTTTTTAGACCTTGTGCCAGGTTTTCTGTAATTTTACAGAAATAAATATTGTAATATATTGCAAATGATTCTATAATAAAAATTTTAATGCAAATGAGAAAACAGAATTTTCAGTAGTTAAGAGTTAATGTAAGTGCTACTGACAGAACAATGCTGTTAACTTATAGGTATAATTTAAGGCTCTTATCCATCAGCTTTATTCTTACCAATGTTGACTCTAAGTCAGATTTTCTCAATAAAGCCAACACAACAATTCTTGTCTCAATACAATAATCAATTTCATTCTAAACAATTTTCAGTCAAACTAACAAAGCCAATTTATCAAATATTACTCTTCTATTTTATCACCAATAAATGAAGTGATCTGATAAAGAAATACAAAAATAGACAGATATATATGTGTCTATAAATACACATTTAGGTAGAGAAATGTAATTAATTTAGTTCCATTGCTGATCTGCAATTGCAATGCTACTCCCTTCACTGGATATACAAAGTGATACAGAAATGTTTCGAAAATTGGAACAACATATGTAATGACAATAGTAACAGTAATATTAAATGTTTCCTTATAAGGAGCCATTTGGCATTCATTGATTGAGCAGCATGTGATATTATGAAATTTATAAAATCTTATTTTCAAACAGTTTTACAGGAAAATATATTTCTCAAGTCCAGTAACTGTTATCACTCTTGCCAATACTGATGGGGGTTTCCTTCCCAACCTTTTGTTTGAAGTAGTGTAGAATATCAACATTTTGATTATGTCATTATTTTCTCTTCAAGTTACAAGTGATATCCATTTTAGTTGTTATTGCTGTTGAAAGTTGTCAACTGATATGGTTTTTGTTATTTGGTACAGTTCTATGTTTGTGATTCTGTAATGACAATCCATAAAGTTCAAAGAAAGATGGTCCTCTTTCATGGAATACTGGGTTCATTTGCTCAAAGCCAATTTTTAACCATTGATCTGTGAAAACAGTTGTATACAGTTGACAGACATTTCTGAACAAGTTAGCGTCATGCATGATATCCATAGGAAAGTCTTTGTCAGATGAAGATATTTAAGGACATGACAAGAGTTCTTCGGTTAAGGTTTTGTTTTTATAGCAACTTTTGGTGTTGTGTTGGACAAAACTGCCCCTAGTACAGCCTATTGGGCTAATCTGGTTGACCATTACAAATGAATAGTCAGTTCAAACCTCACAGGGAGCCCCATACAAAAATTCAACTTGAAATAACCCAATAAAGGTTCATATGTTGTCTGTTCAGTAATTCCAGAAAAATGAAGATCTTATAGGAATTAAATCTATTATATATATTTTATAGGAATTAAATCTATTATATATATTTTTCAATCTATAAAATCCCATCAGAAAGTTTGTTGGATAAACAATAATTATTAGGGCAAATATCACCAAAATACTTGTAGACGTAGTGGTAGACCTACCATGTGTCATTTTTGGACCATTTAGAAAATAACAATAATAACTCCTTTCACTACTCTCATAAATTTGAGAAAAAGATTTTTACAAGCCAGTGTGAAATTATTTTATAACCAATGGAAAACCTTGTATTTAAAAAGTTCACACTTTATGTGAAATTAGATTTTGAATCCCCTTACAGATATAAAAATAGAAGCTTACTGCTTCTCGGGGCTCAAAACAATTTTGGAGGCCAGTTTGATCTACACATGCATACACACACACAATGGAAGATATGACAGCCGACAGCCAGCAGCCACTTATTAAGGCTTTGTCCATGCACACAATAGAAGGGATTAAACAGCAACTACCAACTAAGGCTTTGTCTATGAACATTAGTAAGATTGTTCAATACTTAAATACTTGATAAAACAAATTTCACTGCAAGGAAAATCGAACATTTTATTGTCATTGTATATCATTGAAAAGAATTTATATTATTTCAAATGATGCTTTGTTTATACTTTTCCTTCTGAAAATAAACTTTTATATGTTTCATTTAAAAGATGCGTTGTTGTTGTTAAATATTTGGAATCCCGAAATTCAGATAGCAACAAAAACCTGGGTAAATGGATTCCAACAATATTAAAGAATTCAATAAATCAGAATCAGCATCCTTTTTTTATGACTTAATATGCAATTTAGCTGAAAGATGGTGCATGGCCCCATAAAGCTGAGTACTATTTGGGTTACTGAATATTGATGCTCTGAATTTATATGAATAAAATATTTTGTCACCCCCCCACTACACACAAACACCAAAAAAAAATTCAGAATCTTCCATCATCTTAATTTATTAGCAAGTAAGTTATTAAGTTTTTATACAATTTGAAAGAAATGGAAGCTGGGGCTGCCTGAAATTGAATAAATATAAAATAAAAATATTTTACCTGTTTCCAGAATGCACATGACTGTCACTGTCATTTTTGGTGTTGTCATGTGATGGGGAAATGAGTGTCCAAATTGGGGTTGACACAATAACATCATTATTTGCAGAGGACTGCAAATTTTCTGAAGAAATATGTTGGCTTTGTAACTCAACATTCAGTTGCTTTCTTTGATCCTTTGTCCAAGCCTAAAAATAAAAAAAAATTTAAAAGTAATAAATAAGTCCATTTCAAAGAAACTTTCAAGCAAATAAAATTATTGAGTTGGAACAAAAGTTTATAGTATTTTTCAATAGGTGGTATTTGAACACATGATTTCCTTTCATACATGACCGAAATTTATGCAATATTCTGAAAAGTGATATTTCAGTGCCTCTTTCATGTGTGAATTGTGCATTTTAAATATATTCGTGCTAAAGTGAAAATACAGGAAAATGAGGTGCATTTTCATCATTTCATTCTCTTATTTCCAGAAAGGAAAAAACACTATACAAACAGCAAAACATATATGTTCCATTTATGGAGATGGTACCATAGCTGGGAGTATTGTTTGTAAGTTCAGAAGTGGAAATTTTAATCTGGTAAACCAAGAATGTTCGAATAGGCTTGTAGTCATTGATGACCAAATCAAAATGCTGATTTAAAATAATCCAGGTCATATGACACAGAACAATTCAGAGATACTCCACATATATTACACATACGTATTGTAAGGCATTTGAAATCACTTGGACATATGAATCACTACACTGTTTAGGTGTCTCATAATTAAATGGAAAAAAATGAATGGTCTGCATTTCCATCAGCATTTCTTAGATTAAATGCAACAAAAATGGCCCAATTTTAAAAAAATAAAGATCAAAGGTGATGAAAAAGGTCCTGTGAAAAATGAAAAGTCTGTCTATATCTGAAGAAGTTGAGGCTGTGTATATGGTGAGATTGGAAGAGCATTATGCATTATAAGCCCCTCCAGTAATATCAGACTTTGAAGTCAGACAAATACTGCCACCAGTTGGACTGATTAAAGGTAGCAATGGATGAAAGCATATGACATTAGCTAATCTGAACAACAACAGACTTGATGTAGATTTGCAGAGCTGAGAGAAATTGGCACAACTTGGCTGAGATGTCCTACTGCCACTGCTATACTCACTTGATATTATACCTTCAGATTACCACTTACTCAATTCCAACAAAATTTCCTTAACTTCAAGCCTGTAAAAACCACTTAGGCCAGTTCATCAACCAGAAAGATGCCATGTTCTGGGAGGACAGAATCATTAAGCTGCCTCAAAGAGGGAAAGGTAGTGGAAGAAAATAGAACATATGTGCCTGATTGAATCTATGAACAAATATGTAAATATTGTCTTTGAAATTCACTTAAAAAATTTTTGTTAAAACCCAATATAAGATTAGACTAAGTTATACAAATCCTTTCAGCATTGTAATGTAATTACTACAAATATTGTGCTTCTTTAACCTGTTAAATCCTGGCACCCAATGACTTGCTGATACATTATCCCTGGATATTTCGATTAAATTTCACTATTTCAGAAGAAATCAGCAATGAAAAGCAGCTAATGTCTTGTACGAAAGTGCTCATATGAAGAACTTGATTCTACTGACGAGGGACATTCCAGAAGTTTTGAGACTTTTTTTTAGTAGAGGCAGTTATAACTGTTCTTTCTGTAACTGTCATAGATTATTGTAATTTTAGTATATCATTACTATAATTTCAATAATCCAACCTGCCAACTTTTGTTATTCCAGATTGAAGGAGACGGCTGTAACATCTGTTTGAATACACCCTACTAAACACCGCTTGTCACACCTGACTACTTTGCAGAATGCAGTTGGTACATGAAAACAATTTGGAAGCTCACTATATAATAAAATTTTATGTTGACAGAGATGGGCATCAAAACTGAACCTCACCCTCCCTACAGTCCAGACCTTGCTCCTTGTAACTTTTCATTGTTTCCCAAGCAGAAGAACTTTAGGGGCAGTCATTTTGAAGACAGTGAGAAGATGAAGGAGGCTGTGACAAGAGTCCAGGAAAACTTCACTTTGGATGATTTTCATGGTTCCTTTGTAGTCTGTGTAGCAGAAGGAACCAAAATGAAGAGCAGCAAATGGCTTGTACAAAATTGCTCATATAAACAGCCTGATTCTACATGTTTGGTTGTGTAATTCTTTTTGGTTTGCCTTACCTACCAACAGAAAGATCATTGTTTTGTTCAATAATAATGTTGGCACTATTTGCATCTGACAATACTTGATGACATCTCAATTCAAGTTTGTTTCAGACACAAAAGCCTTTTGAGTTTATGGTATGTTAGGAGGTTATCAGTTATGGAGGAGTTGTTTATCTTATGGCAACATCCGTTACATTTATATATCAATATAATTGATTTGGGTGTATATTGTCTGAGCATAATGATTGAAATATAATGCACAGAGTGTGGACATACGGTTGCATTACATTGATACACCAGTTTCTAGACGATCAATGAAGTTAAGCAACATCAAGCCTGGTTAGTACCTAGATGGGTGACTGCTTGAAAATACCAGGTGCTGTAAGCTTGGATGTGAAGGTGGTGTAATGGATAATGTTTTGAAATTGTTAATCAGAGAGCAGAGTTCCAAATCCAGTTTGGTTTATTATATTTACTTATGTGCAAATACTCTTGGGAAAGGTATGAATCCACCACTTCTCCACCCCACCTATGGGTTAATTAGTAAGACTTGTATTATTCAAACCATTATTTTCTCAAAACAAAATAAAATTGTGCACAAAATATTTAGCTTTCTCTATTAAATAACCTATAGATGTTGATATGCCTAAACAAAAACAACCAACCAATCAAACCACAGAGTGTGATAAATACAAAATAAATCTTTATATAACACAATATAATAATACAGAAGGATAAGGTCAAAGTTGAAGTTTCAAGAGTTCAAGTTTAAAAGTCCTGGTGTACAGGAGAGACAGAAACAAAAAAGTCTGGAAGGAATTTATATATATATATATATATATATATTCAGATGTAGCAACTGCCCATGTGGTGAAGGAATATATGTTTGTTTTCAATGTAGCAAGGATGTTTAGCCCTGTAAGTTCACCATCTGGGTATGTTATAATAATTGTAATGGTTAAAGGAAAATGCAGAGCTTGTTGATAAATACAAAATAAATCTTTATATAACACAATATAATAATACAGAAGGATAAGGTCAAAGTTGAAGTTTCAAGAGTTCAAGTTTAAAAGTCCTGGCACATATGAGAGAGAGTCTGGGAGGAAGTAAATTTATATATGTATCCAAATGTAGTAGCCACCGCTTGACAATGTGGGTAAAGAATGGTATATATGTTTTTAATGTAGCAGAATAGGTTAGCCATCTAAAGTCGCCAGCTAGTTGTGCAAATATTGTGTGTTGTCTCTGGGTATGTTACAATAACTGCAACATAAAACAATGGATAAAATTTATTTATTGATTCTAGTTTTGATTGATTTTTCATCTGGTTATATGCACATCTAAAGATCTGCTTTGAAATGGATACTCAGTTTCTCATTGGCTTGCGGCCTTGTAACCTGGTCGTGAAATCTTACTGATTGGTTGGTCAAACTATCTATTTTTAAAGATGGTGAAATTTTGATCTCCATGTTATTATTTATTTGTTTTCTTATATCCTGGCTGTGAAAGCTTTCTTATTGGTTGGTTAAAATATGTCATTATGGCCTGGTGATTTTGATTATCTGTCTATTCTGCATGCTAATAATCAAAAGTATTTATTTTTAACAGACCTTTAATTATTTTTTCATGTACACATTTAAAGACTTTCTAGGGCTCCACTATATTAATTATATGCTTATTAAAGTATTTTCATTCTTTAAAGAACTTGAATCCAAAGGTTATTTTATATACACATCTAAAAACTATGATTCCCATATATTATTAATATTGTACTATATCATTATCACTCTTTAGCTGTACCTTTTATTTCAGATATAATAATATAGTTGATAAAAGTAAATGGCAATTTTGAGATATTATTTTAAACTGGGCCTCAAAGCTGCTGAAGCTCTTTGTAGAATTTCAAAATGGGAAGAAAAACACTTTCTGACTATATTGGAATAAAAGCCAAAATGACCAACTGACAATTATGTTTTAAAATCCAAGCTAGAGAAGAACTTGACCAGCAGCACATGAAAACTTTCAGAACTAGAATCATCAAAAGATTCTATAAAATCTTATATAAGATTAAAAAAAAAAAACAATTAAAAATGAACATCCCAATAAATGCCAATGATCCCAACTTCAATGAAAACAATTTTTTCAAAGCAAAGAGTTAAACTTTATATTAAATCTTATAAAGTAGAAAGGCTACTTGTCAGAAAGTTCCCTATATTGTCTTCCACTGTTAATAATTACAATATTTGAGAAATGAAAGGTTTTGATGTTTGGCCTTTATTAACATACATTATCTTTAGATTTTGTCCATTTTGTTGTTTAAAAAAATACATGAGTATTGTCAGTAGTTCCCAATCATAAATCAGTTTAGAGTTAAACATAAGGAAAGAGAAAGCCTGACAGAAACAAGCAGATATACGTACAGGGTGTGGTGGGTAAATTGTCACCATTTTATATTTTTAATTTTGTGCATATGCGCTGTCTGTTTTTGATTCTGTCAACTGCACAGCATAGTCAGGTCAGTTGTGCACCATCTGTTAGAAAAAGAGCACCATGACACAATTCACTCTGCCAGAAATTTGCAAACGGCATGCTGTATTGCTTGGTATTTGCACTAAAAGTTTCAATACAAACATTTCAGAGTATTTGGGTGTCAATCTGAGGACAGTGCAGAAGATTCAGAAAAAGTTGGATGAGTCTAATGGTGATTATGAAGGTACGGCAGCTTGGAAAACTCACTCTGATCATTCTGATAAGAAAAGGACTCCTGAATCTGTTGGTGAGGGCTTCAGACTCAACATGGAGACCTACATCAAGTGCGTTGAGGAGGTAGTGCTTCCCTGGGTTAAGAGGGTAGCTGCTGGAAGATACTACGACAGGCAACAGGACTCTGCACCATGCCACACAAGCAGGAAACCCTAGTCATGGCTGTCAGAGAATTTCTTTGACTACATCACCCCTTACATCTGACAACCTAACTTCCCAGACTGCAACCCACTTTTTTTTTTTGTAAATCATTTCACCCCAAGTAAGGCAGGAATGCCACTAGTTCACAGGGGATTACAGAGAATGAAGGAGAGAGAAAAGACTGGATACAGAGGGGACCAAGGAAAGGATAAAAGCTGAATGGGGTTCAAGAAGATAGAAGATGTTGATTGATGTTGCATTTAAATTTTTGAAGATTGTAATTAACAGGGAAGCACTTTCCACAGGTGGGAAAAGAAACTATTGGAGTAGAAGTGATGGTTATATTTACCTAATTCAGCAGTAAAAGGGTGGGACCTAATAGCACACTTAAACACATGTAGTCCAGGCATCAGGGAAAAAGTTTGTCAGAGTAGTAGCCATGAAAATATTTATAGAAATGACAGATGGAAGCCATGTCATATTGGTGAGAAAGAGACTGAAGTTGAGATGCCAAGTCAGAATTAGTTACATTGCAGATCCTTTTTTGGCTTTTGTCAAGAACCTTGAGATGAGTAGCAGAAGCACCTGACCTGATATGGCATGGACGGTAGATTTGTAAATGTGTAAAATGGGCTCTGGCACAACACAGTGACCTAAGGGAGATCACTGATGAAGATCAGAAACAGTGTAGGACCTAGGATAGAGCCTTGTGGGACACCCATGTTCATGTAAAAGGATCTGGAAGTGAGCCCATTCAAAATAGCCTTCATTTCATAATTTTATAGGAATGATTGGATTAAATCAAACACACATCCAGTAATATTGTAGCCCTTGAGCTTACATAGAAGACCAGCATGCCAAACCCTCTCAAATGCCTTCAAGATATCTACAGCCACAGCTTGAGCTTCACCATTATTATCAAGAGCTTGATATACATATTCAGTGATGGTCATTAGCACATCAGCAGTAGATCTAGCAAAATGGAAGTCATATTGTTTATCAGAGAGTAGGTCATGGAAGGTAAGATGCTTAACCATGTCAGCATTGATTAAAGTCTCAAATACTTTGCTGAAAATCAGTAGGAGACTAACAGGGTAATAGTTAGAGGGGCCAGAAGGTTTTCCAGAGTTCTTAAAAACAGAAACTACAGAGGAGGACTTCTAACAATCAGAAAGCAGTGAGGCAATAGTTGTAGAGTTTGGAGAGGACTGGAGCCAGCTCGGGTGCATTTTTTTTTTAAGATGACATCATCTCTGCTTGCTTTATGGGAGTCTAATTTAGAAATAATGTCTGAGACCTGTGATGGGGTTATGCTTATATCACTCAGTAGAGCCTCTGTTCTAGGAGGGAAATCAGGTGTGGGTACTTCAATTTAGTCGAGTATTGAGTTGGAAGAGAATTTCCGAGCAAAGCATTATCTGCTGTAAATGTCAGGACTTCAAATTGATTAAATAGAGGAGGGATTAAGGATTTTCTGTTGTTCAGCACACTCTTGCAGAGCCACCAATAATCTTTAGTACTGAACTTGTAAACTTGTAAGATGCTATATGTTGTTTCATTTTATCAGCAAACAGTAATTTCACTTGTTTGAGGACATGTTTGCACTCATTATAAGCACAGACAAAGAGACTTCTGTTGCAACCCGACATGTCACTCTGGTACAGCCGGAAGAAGTGATTCCTTTGGGCTATAGTGACTACACATGCAGGTGTGAACCAAAGAGATGAATATGATTTAACTTGGTATTTTCTTGCTGAGATGAAAGCATCAATGCCAGCTTTCACCCAGGAGAAGACCTCAGATGCATATTTATGAACAGGATGATTAAAAACTGCATTCCAGGGGACAGTATGAAGGATATCACGGAATGAGTCCCAATCTGCACATTGATAACAGAAAGATATTCTGTTGGTAGGAAGTTCTTAGCTGGTAGTGAAGTGGAAAAAGATGTTTATAGACACTACCGCATGATCAGAGTTGCCAAGAGGGCAGAGTTGACAAGTACGACATGAGTCCAGGATAAAGGTAAAAAAAAAGAGATCTAAAAGAGAAGTGTGTCCATCAGGGTTACTGAGGAAATGTATAGGGAAGTCCACTACTTGCATGAGAGAATGAGTGATTGACAAATTAAGGATCTGGATTTCAGTGGGATCAGTGACAGAGTAATTAAGCTACTTGACATTAAAGTCACTGAACACAAATATATTTGCAGGCAAGTGTAGGAAGATCGCCTTGTGTATATTATCAGAAATACTATCTAGCATGCAACAGTCATGAAAGGAAGGGGAACAGTAGAAAAAGAAGAGATAGCTGACCAAGTTAAGTAGAAATAGCCAGAAACACATGTAAGAGTGGTGTGGGGATTCAAGATAGAGTTCCCTAGCCAGCAGGAGATGTTCCCAGACAAACTCTCAGGCTATGCATGTGGACATTAGAGTTCTTCCTAAGAAAGGAAGATAGCCAGGAATCAAGAAAACAGAGGAGGAGATTGAAGAGTTGATTATTATGTGCAGGGCACAATTGAGAGAGAGAGAGAGAGGCCAACAAAACTCATTGTAATACCAAAGATGAACTGAAGATAAGGATTATGGCAGTATTCACCAACTTAAACAAGGACACTGTCCAGAAGAGTTGCAAGAGATTCTGAGGTCATCTGGAGGCCATGGTTGAGACAAATGGTGATTTTATTGAATAAATTTACTCTTTAGTATTTCAAGATATTTTTGTGTAATCTTGGTAAATATATCTATTAAAATGAGATATCAGTGTTATTTTCATTTTTACATAGTTTAAATGACAATTTATCCATCGCACCCTGTATAATGACAATAGCTTGGCAATATAAATTTTGTAAAAGACATAAATATGCCCATGCAAGTGGAAGCATTAAGAAAGGTATAAATCTATATCTCTGTATTTTGTCTTAGTGATAATTATCTTGAAAGATGTCTCATTGCTAACATGCTGCCATAATTGGCAGAAAAAGAGAGGCAAACCACTCCCCTATATCTATCTCATTGAACAGTAAGATAAGAGAGTGGTTATGGGACAGAAATAAGTTACACCAATTTTCAGCCTTAACAGGAGTCCATAATATTACCTAATGTTTAAATATGACGAGTGTTTGTTTCACTCAGAAACCTCTTGTTAAAAGATAGTAAAATCTTTCTGCTCTGATAATCTATTGCTTTTTAAAGTTCTAACTCTTCTATAGTGAACTGAATTGGCCAGACAATTGTCCAATGTGATTATATTGTTCTTTAACAATGAATACTCATATGATATTATGAATAAAAATAGGAGATACTACTTATAGCAAAATGGCTGGTCATGTAAGAATATCTTATCATGATGAATAAAGTCAAACAATGAAAAAAGCAGATTGACACAGGAAAGAAGGTTGATAGAAAGAAAACACGAAAGAGAAGTATGTTTATAAAAAGAGAGGTAAGAAAAAAAAGAGAGGTAAGAAAATGGACATGAAAAAAAATGAAAATCATGTAAGAAAGAGAAAGATAAAGCAAAAAAAAAAAGAAATGCAAAGGAATATAAAAATTTAAAAAAAGAACTAAGAAGAAAGAGAAAGAGAAAGAAAATAGAAAGAAGGTATGTGAAAATTGATTAAAAAAATAGGAAGCAAGATGGATGAAAAAATAAATGAAGAGAGATGAAACTTGAAAAAAAAAAAAAAAACCTAGGAAGAGAAGAGCAAAATTTCCAAAGGAAAAAATATTAAAGAAAAGATGCTAAAATAAAAATGACAAAGCATGAAAGCAAAATTAAATAGGAAGAAAAAAAAAGAAATATGGCTGAAAAAGAAAAAAAATGAAAAGATAAAAGATGAAAGAAATTTAGATATAAAAGAAAATAAAAGAAAAGGAAATACAGATGAAAAAGAGAAGAAAGATGAAGAAAGAAAAATGGACAAAAAATACAAAAAAGAATGAAAAAGAAAAGATGGATAATAAAAAAAGGAAGTAAAGATGGAGAAAAAGAAGAAAAGAAAATAATAAAGATGCCTGGAAATCGAAAGCTGTCTCTAATCAACTGAAGCATGCTTAAGCCATTATGGCAACAAGCTTCACCCAAGTATATGCAAGAATATTTTATTAGAGTATTTAAATTTACATAATTGCTATTAATGCACAAACGCCATGCACAACTTATGTGAAAGATGTCTTTTTTCCTCTTAATCTCAGTCAAGTAGACATTCTCTTCAGACAACCATAAAAGAACTCCATTAGTTTGTTTCTAGGCAAAGTTGTAGTGGGAAAGATAAATTTAAGATACTTACAGATAGGTTGACTTGTTTAGCAGGTTTATCTATAAAACTGCTTATTATGGTCTGCCTCATTATATATTTCTCATTAGTACTTGAGGTCAGTGTTTTAAAACCCTGATAAAAAACCCAGGATCACAAAAGTTGATTTTCTTGGCAGACAAACAACCCCTTTCAGTAAGAATATTAGCAAGGTGTTAATTCTGAGTTCACAATGGTATAAGTTTACCAGGCAAGTGCAAATGTATTTATCTGCACACCTACTTGAACAGAATATAGCAAAAGATTTAGTTTAAAGTGGAAAACCCATGGGTTTGTTGTAGGTAGTATGTTGGCCCACAAAAAGATATTGAATGATGGAAGATGACAACAAATAAAATGAAGACTTGAGTAAAAAAATATATTGACAAATTTATTTTTGTTAAAGAAAATACATCAACAAAAATAAGGTTACAGTGTACTAGGCAAAAAATATCTCTGTATGCTCATGTAGAGGGCGAGAAGAGCATTGTCCTGAAAAGGACAATTTTGTAGTCACTGAAGAACATTGTCCTGAAAAGGACAGTTTTGTAGTCACTGAAGAGCATTGTCCTGAAAAGGACAGTTTTGTAGTCACTGAAGAGCATTGTCCTGAAAAGGACAGTTTTGTAGTCACTGAAGAGCATTGTCCTGAAAAGGACAGTTTTGTAGTCACTGAAGAGCATTGTCCTGAAAAGGACAGTTTTGTAGTCACTGAAGAGCATTGTCCTGAAAAGGACAGTTTTGTAGTCACTGAAGAGCATTGTCCTGAAAAGGACAGTTTTGTAGTCACTGAAGAATGTTGCCCTGAAAAGGACAGTTTTGTAGTCGCTGAAGAGTGTTGTCCTGAAAATGATGGTTTTGTGGTCATTGAAAAGCATTGTCCTGAAAAGAACAGTTTTTGCATATCATTGCCGCAGGCAAGGATGAATGTAACTGGAGGCCTGTTGGAGATGGCTGGCTAGAGCTGGAAGCCTGTTGGAGATGGCTGGAGTGGCAGCTGATGATGGCAAACTGTAGCTGCTGGTAGCTGGAGCCATGGGCTGGCTTTCAGCTGCTGGAACAGATATTATACTTTGATCCTAGTCATACAACAATCACTAGTTAAGCTTTTTCTTCTGGTAGTTTTTAAAAATTGTGGGAGTGCTGACACGATATGACAGGTTCATGATTGGAGAGGAAAATTGTTCAGTTCTGCTCCAGTCAGACATCTCAAGCATCAGGCATGCTTTTTGATTCTTCTGCACTTAGTGCAATGAGTGAGATACTGCCTGGGATATATGCCCCACCATCTGGAACTTGTACATTCAATCAAACCCAATCATAAATATTTAGAGCAATTGCCAAAGTTGTTATTCACAAATCTTAGTTTAGCTCTGGTACAAGGCTACAATTATGTAACACCAAGTCAAGACTGAACATAATATTCAGTAGTAATAGTCAACAAGACAAGTTTGCTAACTATTACTACACAACAAGGTGCCATAGTTGCACTTTTTGCTTGTGCAACTCTCTTCCAGATTCTTGCTTCCCAGTCAACTTTTATCTTCAAAAATTTAGATGCAATGTCAATCGTTGTCTTCCATCTTCTTAATTCTTGTTCTTTTATTGTTCTCTCTCCTTGATAATTTTTTTCTTGTATTCTCTCACACACAGTAACCCCTTGCATCTTAGTGGCTTTATTTTTTTAGAGAAGTGAGGCAGCTTTTTCCATTTGGAACATTTCATAATACACTTTTAACAATATAGATATACATTGTTTTCGATATGTGGATTATTTTCTTTTAATTTTCTAATTTGATGAAAAAAAGAAAATGGATATAAAAGAGTTCAAGTTGAGTTGAATCTACCTCTAATGACATTAAATCTGTTTTGTTACTCCAAAATTTTTAAAGTACTCATAATTCCTAGTTGGCGACTTGTTTCTTTTACTCCCTCCAACTACTCTCTTGAATCAGTGTGGTTGTGTAACTCATGGTGTAGATTAGTTGTCATGGGAAGCAAACACCAGGTTACTATCCATTTTTGGAAATCCAAGATGACTAAGTTAACAAAAAAAAAGCAAAAAAAAAAAACAATGATATGAGATGGGTTGGATTGGTTTAGTTGATATTGCAACATATCAATTCTTGCTGAATTTTATGATGAAATCATTTTTTATTCATTCTCTTACTTAGTTCAGGATTAAGTAATTATTAAGATCTATGTCAAGAAGGAATCTTTTATTCGTCACAACTTTTATTACAATATATATTGTTTAATTATAATAAAATAATATAATAAAGGAGATAAAAAATTGAACATTGAATAGCCAATGCCATTGGGTAGTTTTACACAACACTAAAAGACCAAAACATTAGCTTAAAACTCAAGTCATGTTCTTCAGTAGCCTCATCAGATTGAGTCTTTAATATGGATGTCATACATGGCACCAAACTTCTTCATAAATATCTAAATTGTCAAATGTATACAACTGCTTTCTCAGATCAATGATTAAAAATTACTTTGAGCAAATGAAGTCTAGTTTTTAGTGAGTACCATCCTTCATTGATGCTCATGAACTGGCACTACAAAGTCACAAATAAAGAACTGTACAAAATTTCAGAAACCACATCACTTGTGGACATTCAACAGCAGCAACAACTAAAATGGATAGCATATATAAGTCAAAGAGAAAATAATAATATAAACAAGATTTTGAAAAGATTGCTGACTCCTCTATATTGGTGACTCTTTCAATTTCTATTTCCTCCCATTGACCTTAAGTTAAGTCTTAGTGTTTAACATTTTTGTTTACTACTTTACTGTTATGATGAATATCTTCTCTTTTTGATTTGAATTCACTAAAATGATCTGTCCTTAGTTCAATCACAAAAGAACAAGGTAAATTCAAATTTGAATGCAAATTTTAGAATATTCTAATTTTAAAATAGAACAATTTTTATATGGAGAAGTACATGTTTAAAATTTCATAAAATATTAGATGTTTGCATTAGATGTAGGCACCCACTTTTTTTTAATTATTTAAAGACTAAAGACTGAAAACACAGTGCAATTCATTTTTTTTAGTTTTTGCTATTATAATCATACTAAAATATTTGGGCTTATCATTTTGATAAGTAATTGATGGTATATAAAATACCCCTTCTATTCACCAGGGAATATTAACAAAAATATATACACATTTCTTGAATTCCTCTTTCTTATTACTAATTAAAAAAAAAAGAAAAAAAAAAGAAAAAAATCTCAAATTCTGGCTAATGTAGGTAGGGCTGGACAACAAAGATTAAACTTACTGTTTAATCCATTTTTTCTTTATTTCTTTTGAAAAGTGGGGGGTCTTGTATGCCATCAAATATGGTATCCATATACAAAAGCTTTTCTTCTGAGATGAGTAACAGTTGTTCAACAGCTTTTTGAATATTTTAGTCAGTAATAATTTATAAATGTATAACAGTCATGTAAAGTACTGACAACAGAATACTGCAAACTAGAGTTGCAAGTTCAATATAAGATCAAAAAGTGTGACTACTTTAAGCTCATATTAAAACCTTACTGTAGAAATTAGGCAAACATGTGGAGAGACCCTAAATTGGGTTCATCTGGTGCAAAATGAAACAATCAGTTTCTCCCTTGAAATGTTTGTTGATCAGTTGATACCTTCCCTAGCAAGAGTTGTCCTCTTTCAAACTTGGCTGTTTGAAGAGTTTATAGTGAGACAATGCAGGTGGTGCTGTTACCAAGATTGTGGTAATGATTTACATGGAAACAGTAATGCTTGGTTGTTGACTAATCACAGCTGGTATGTCGTTGGGACCAAGCATACTTAAGACTGGCAATTTTTTTTTTTTTGATTTGAATGGACATTCTCTCAGCTCTGATGTTGCTTTGAAGGACAGTTGCTTGGCTGCTTATGGATTCATTTTCCTGTTTTTATTTTTTTTGCTTACACTTATACAATATTTAAAGATAACACACTTTAAGAATTAGAAAATGCTACTGAGATTTTTTTAATAAGGTTGGATAGAGAAATATACTTACCTTGTTCTGTTAGTAACAAATGTGACTATTGAAAATTTATTCCCCCTGATTTTCAGTACACTACATACAAATTAAATATAAAAGCTTACAAACAAATTTTAGGTAAAAATAAAAAAAATTAAAATTTGGTGATCAGGGGATTAAATCATCAAATTTTATTTTTAAAAGCTAATGTTATCAGAGTAATTTCCATTCATTCATTGTCCTTTAATATCTTGTACCAAAACCAACATTCATCAATAGTAGGCTATTACAAATTTTTCTGTGAGAGTCAACTCAAAATGTATCCTTCCTCCTTGATAGGTATGCCCCTGAAACTAATAAGTTTTCAGCAGAATATGCATAAGTATTAAATGAGAAACATTTTGAATTCTTATTTTCAATATATTTGATTTCATGTTAAATGTATTTTCTGTACAAACTTTCTATACAGTTTTTATATTTACTTCAGACATATATTCACAGACTGTTTCCAAGTGTTATCTAAAATGATCTTGCAGGTCAACATGAAGCTCAACCTAAATATTGTGAGAGAAGTAGACATAGTTATCACTAACATCAAAAGCAGAAAAATAGATGTTCTGTTAAAATTAACAAAAAATATTGTTCTTGCATACAAGCTAATGATTACATGTTCAAAATCACTTTCATGTAAGCATCAAGGCATTTGTTACCTAGTGAATGGTTAATTTTGACAGCCTCTTAAGTTCCAAGTAGCTAATCATATCTTTGAATTAAAAGTGATCATCATTTTCTTAGTCTTCTGAATACAAATTTTCTCTAATAATATAGTGGAAAACCTTTTTGTTTGACTATAT